CCAGGGACCAGCTCACAATACACATACTACAAGCTAGAAAGAAAGATCGGTGTAGAAACTCTAGCTTGGAGATGCCATAAACCTCTTGCACGCTGAAAACCAAGGCGAAAGTGAAATCCTGGTCAGGAGAGTGCACCGACGATGATGTAAGGCTCGCTGTTGCCAACACACCCGGGCTTGAAGAAGACACATCCATCCCGATCCATCATCAAAGAAATCCCCTACCTCCTCGCCTGGCTCGAAGGTGCCGCACCGTTGAACGATGGACATGCTCACCCTAGAGCCTAGATGGATCGCATCGAAGAAACCACTTGGGCGGAACCAGGCGTTCCTGACATGCCGACGACGACTCACCTAGAGCAGAGCAACACCAAAAGCCATAGTTCTGACATGAAAGAGGGCGAGCAGACAGAATGCACAAATGGGCAACAGCAAGGGCCAAGACCAAAATGGAAGCTTCGGCTCGCTCTACGAGCTGAAGTGCAGCCACCGTAGGAGGGGAATCCTATCCCCTTCCGTCCTGGAAGATCCAAGGGCATCGGAGGAATACACTGCAACCCAACGCAGAGCACCAAAACACCTTGACCCAGCACCAGGGGAGTCCTCGCCATTACTGGACGCACGCTGCCGCCGCCGACACACGCCACCTACACCACAACGAAGCCCACAACCCATCTGTGTTCCCAAAACAGCGCCTTCAAGAAGGTTACGGCGCCAAGGGCGTCGCCGCCGCCCAACAAAGTTGAGGATTTCTCCCGGGAGACACAGGGGAAGGGGATGGGGGGCAGGACCTGAACAGCGCCTCCGGGAAGGTGCGCGGCGCCCACGGGCGTCGCTGCCATCGCCGCCGGCATGGCTGCTGGGGTTTCCCCCGGTCCTGCAACCGTGTCACCCGCTCCCACCCGCAGCAAACCTGGCCCCCATGACGAGGCGGGTCGGATCTGGGGGGGGGGAGCTCGCTGGAGGAGAAGGGCGGTGGGGACGACCAGATCTGACGCAGCCGGAGCTGGCGCTGCCGCCGCGCGCTGGCCCGCATTCTTCGAGGATCTCGCCGTCCACACGGCCAAGAACCGCCGACCCGCGCCCACGCCGCCGGATGCCAAAGCCGGCGACGCCACACCAGCCGGGGCCGCCGCCCCAGATCCAGAGGCCCCCCCGCGGGCGAGGCGAGGCGGCGAGGGCCCCGCCGCCACCTTCATCGGCGGCGCGCCAAGCTTGCTCAGCGGCAGCGGCCTCGGGCGGCGGCGAGGGGAGGGCGAGCAGGGGAGGGAGACGGCGGGGTTAGGGTTTCGCCCCTCGAGTCGCCCGAGCGGGCGACGCGGGGGAGGGAGGGGACCGATATCAAGCTCGACCACTTCGTGCTTGTGTGAACCCGCTACCCTTCATAACTCCACTACACAAATCCTATTTCGATTATGGGGGTTTGAGGATATAATGGCAAGCTTGTAGCAGCCATGAGTGGATCGTCAAGCACTAGAGGCACCTCCAACGTCGACGGATCTTCCTTCGCGGCTCCTTTTTTGCATGGAATCTTTCGTGGATCCTAGAAGGGCACAGTTCTCCCCTTGAGGCCACTAAAAACATTTCTTCTCAATTTTAGAGACAAGTAGGTTATTGTGGTATAGTCGGATATCTTTTTCACATGCTATATTCTGGTGTCTGGATACACCTATATTATTTTCACATAGAACCTCATGCAAATTTGTTATTTGTACCAACACAGCTTGTTGCCCTCATCGATTACTTTGTTGCATGTGAATTAACTATAAGAGTATATTTGTTCTTCATGGTTTCCACGTAGATGATTATTTTTAATATTTAGGCAGCATAGGTGCATATTAAATTAACTATTATGTGGTTGGACTACCACAAATTAAGCGACCAGGCCAAGCAGGCCATGGCGCTTGAGGAAATGGCTATATGGTTGTAAGGTTTCGGGGATTGTTTATGGTTGTAATGTGTGGTCTGGTTGGTTCATTGTTTGCTAATAAACTATGGCGGAGACTTTATCACTTTTGAGTTGCGATGATCCGAATACGGTGTTGTGGCTAAGTTTGATGCTTTTGAGCATATTGTTGTGATAACTACTAAATGTTGTTGGATTTGGATATTAATGATTTAATGTGCTAATAAATTTATATGAAAATTCATGCTATGCTAAGTAAGAGGATATTTCGCTGAACTTCTGTTTATTTGCATGTTGAATTTATGTACTTTTTAGTATTTAATTGGTGAAATATATCAAAACAAGTGTCATTTCATGCCAGAATTCAGCAACAAATTTATTCCAAAATCATTTTTTTTTGCAGATCACCACACGACATGGCTAAGGGGAAAATCATCTTTTTAGTAGTCGCTTGATGGCCAACCAACGAAATGGCAAATATATACCTAGTGCAAACTTTCAATGTTGTGAAATTTTGGAGTAACATTGGGCATAAAGTTAAATTCTTGGTGCTATATATGGAATTTCCTAAATGTAATATGGTATACAAAAGACACATTCACTAATTGACTTGACATAATGTTCTTTCAAATAGCGCAACAACATATAAATATCTGAGTCCAAAAAATAATTAACGATGCCTGGCTCAAATATTCATGCAAATACCAAAGTAACATATATGCATGCAAATAAGATTGGAAGAAATCCAATAATAATAACTGAGTAAGTGATCCACACTAACGTATTTATCTCAACATGTAACCAAGCATGCAAAAGGGCTTAAATATTTTTATTACATGATGCTATTTATTTCAATATTTTCGTAATTATACATTTATCATAATCATATGTAAATAGATAAGAGGATTCATATCTATTATGAGGACGTGGGCATAGCCCAGTGGTTGGGGGCGCATGATTGTAAACCCAACGACCAGAGTTCGATCCACGTCGGGGACGAATTTCTGGAATTCTCATGAGGGATGCTTCTTCTATATCAATAAACCGTGGGTGCTAGTGCCCATGGAGTTTCATTTTTTGAGGACGTGGGCATAGCCCAGTGGTTGGGGGCGCATGATTGTAAACCCAACGACCAGAGTTCGATCCACGTCGGGGACGAATTTCTGGAATTCTCATGAGGGATGCTTCTTCTATATCAATAAACCGTGGGTGCTAGTGCCCATGGAGTTTCATTTTTTTTTGTTTTCTTAGTGAAGTATATAGATCTATT